CCCTGTCCGAGCCCACCCTCCCCCTCACATTCCCCATCCCGGACTGTGGAAGGAAGTACCTTGCTGTTTAACTGCTGGATTCTGAGCTCCTTCTGGTGCAGCTCCTTCATGCTGCTGCTCAGCTGGGCCTGGAGGCGTGTGGTCTCTGCTTCTGGGCTCAACTCTCTCAGCGCTTGCAGAGAAACCTGCCCGGGAACAAACCGTGAACACCACACTGTGCACGTGACCTCTGCTCCGGCATCAGGCCTCCGTCCGGCACTCCGAGGTTAAAGCCCAGCACTATTCCTGGGCCTGGAGCTTGATCTGCTCAAGCAGAACAGCGGATGGGGAATAAATAGCCGGAAACCCGGCTGAGAAGCCAAACAAGACTGACAGCTCACTGAACGCAGGCAGGACGGACCCTCCCCAGGGCTGCCCTACAGCAGGAGGGGAAAAGCAGTGAATGAGAACAAAAGCAAATGCACCCCCAAAGCAACGTCCCCGCTGCTCTCAGTCAACAGACCGGAGGGCCAGCACCGTGGCAGCCTCCTGGGAAGCACCACAGGCACATCGCTCCGGCTCTCGCTTTGCAGACATGCACGTGTGTGTCTCAGGGAGGGGAGACTTCCTCCCCCCTCCGCTCGCACCAGAGCTCCTCGCGGTAGCACGGCAGATGGGGGCAGGAGGGTTCTCCCCTTGCGATGGTGTTGTACCTGCAGCGGGCAAGCAACGCTCAGCGGACGGCACTCCGCTTCCAGGAGCGTGACATGGGGGAAGGCGGCAGAACACACAGTGCTCGACCCTCGCGGGGCTTGGGTCAGGTCTGCAGATCCCTGTTACAGTAAAGCCAGCAACAACAATTCCGTAGGAAACTTAAATCAGATCATGACATTCAAAAGGAACTAAGGCAGATCTTGGATTCAGACACAGCACGAAACTCTGCCACAGCCGGACAGCAGGACCCAGGAAATTCCGTCCTGCCCAGAAGGACCCGAGGTGCCTGGGACACCCTGGCTTTTGCCATCTCGAAATACGGGCCAGGGGAGCGCAGGCATTTCCTAAAGGTTTCCATGACCCCAGCCGTGTTGTTCGTTCAGTCTTTGGAGGCCACCCACCACAATGCGACGCTGCCATCTGCACGAGCCGAATCCACGCAGCACACGCACCGCCGGCTGAACGTCACACCTCACGTTCCCACGCAACACAGCAGCCGTGTTTCCACCCACCTCCGTTTGGCGCTGCTCCTCTGCAGCCCGAGACGCGCTGAGCGCCAGCTCCATCTCCTGCGTGACCCGTCGGAAATGGCTCAGCTGCTTGTCCTTCTCTGCTACGAGCCCCAGGTACTGCTCCTTCATGCTCCTGTTCTGCTCTTCCCAGGCAGCCCTCTCTTGCCTGCCCAGTCCAACACAAGGGAAACAACCAGGAGTTACTAGCATCACACTATCCGGGTATTCTGCTCAGAATGAGCTGAGGATAATCCTATTCTCCACCACCAGCCAGAAAAGAAACTTCCTAATAAACCAAGCCCGAACCACCCCCAAGCCCAGGGACCATGAAAACAGGCAGCAGGGCTCAACCCCAGCCAGCAAGCGGGAACCACCCCGCCGTGCACTCACCTCCTCCCCCCCCCAGAGGAGGGGAATGGGAGGAGAAGTCAAGGCAGCTGGTGGGCTGAGACACGAACAATTTGATAATTGAACAGAAATAAATGAAATTGCCATTCGAACACCACCACCAACGTAAAAAGAAATTCCCATTCGAACCCCACCCCCCCCCCCACCGATACCGCTATTACTTCTGATAGCACGTAACGGAGAGAATACTGCCACTCCTACTAGTAGTATGTCAAGCAAATAATGGAAGATAAAGCAAGCGGTACATCTGCTCACCCCCCGCCGAGCGATGCCCAGCCAGGTCCTGAGCAGCCAGAGCCCACGGG